CCCTCGCCACCCGACCGGCGCTATGGCGGCTGCTGCCAAAGACCACGACGCCGTGCAGGTAACAAGGGGCTACACGCCGACCCCACACGCGGCGCCTGCCCCTGAGGCCGCGTGGGCTTTAAAGGGGCGCAGGGTTTGGCAGCGGGGCTGGCGCACACGCCTCGTTCCGGCAGCGTCCCCGTTAAGCAGCCGGAGGCGCGAGATGTGGGGTTGGACACCCCGTGCCTGGAGGCGGGGCCGAGCGCCCCAGGGTCCCCTCTCCGGCTGGGAGTGACTCCTGGAGGCCTGAGGCGGGACACTGAACTGGCAACGGCCCTGCCGGCGTGCCCGGGCCCTGCCGTGGCTACCGGTGCCACCCCTGGTGCTGCTGGCGGCCCTGCGCTCTGCCCGCCGCCTGGCATGGGGCACTTTGCGTCAGCTCCAAGATAGCAGTTCGCAATTGCAGTTGTTGAGGCTATTCTTGTAACCTTAGTAATTAGTAACCTTTGTAGTTACTAATTAGCAGAGAGTATAGAGATGTTATGAAATTTACTACACTTCCCAAAATGTTGCCAGCTGACAGTCTGGCTGCAGTTACAGGACTTGCGGACCTTTTTATTTATTTATGGTAACTCGGGCGTTTTTTAGGTTTGTTTGGGTTTTTTTTCCGTGTTTGATTGTTTAGGGGTTTTTGTAGTTTGGTAACTGTTCATTATTATAAGTCATCACAACCTGAACATGAGTTGGCAGTGCTGTACTTCATCAAATGAAGCAAACATTGTGCTAGAGCGTATGGGAGCATCACCTGGACGAGGCTTGAAATACCTGTCCTGTTTGTATGTGGAACTGGTCAAGAGACCAGCCCAAGCACCAAGAACAGTGTGGACCAACAACAGGGAGAGGAGAATCATCGGCAGACTAGATAATGTGACCTGTTAGGAAAGAAGGAAAGAATCTGCTTAGTCAAAAAAAAAAGAAAAAAAAAAAGAGCAAATGGAGTTGTTGTCTTAATACGTAAAATGTTGTTACAGAGATGAAAGGGAAGGATGTCTTCTTTATGTTCATAACTGTTTGGTAAGAGACAATAAACTTAAGTTTCAGCAAGCAAGGTTTAGGTTAGGCATTAGAAAAATATTTCTAACCTGGGACAGTTAAACAGATTGCTTAAGGAGTTTGTGACTCACTGTCATTGGAGGTTTTAAAGATGAGGTTAAAGCAGGAGCTTCCAAACCTTGTCAAACTTGCCCCAGGCTGCTGTCTCCATCACTTCACCTTCCCTGTCTGCTGCCTCAGAACCACTACCGCTGTCTTGCACCTGTGTCCGTTTCTCCCATGCTGCCGCCACTGCCTCCCCATGCCTGGTTCTGCAAGTCCAACACCAACTGGAAGCATTTTCCTGTGGCGTGCAGCCCCCTGTAGCAACTGCAACAAGATGCAAGTGGTCTGTCCGTTCAGAGGGGCTGCATTAAACAAAGGCTCTGCTTGCTGTGATTCTAAGGGCCAGGGGACAGTTGAGGGACTCACAAAATCCCAGTTTCCCTTTGCTGAAGTCTTACGGTCTTACTTTAGACCCTCAAGGATCACTCAGTCTTCAACTTCACAGTCACTGTGGTATCGGGGTGGGGGAGATAACAGGGACAACAGCACTTTTTTCTTAATGTTTCAGCAAAGCTATTGGTACTAAGTAACTACCTGCCTACCAGTTTTGGTATGTGCTACTTATTTTTCGCTTTTGTTCTCTTTATTCTGTGGGTGTTAACAGAATGCCCCTAATGTGGGTTCCTGCTGCTAAACAAACGTTTCTCTTGGAAATGTCCTTTCACGGGCATAAATTACTAAGCTGAGCAGTAGAGCAGCTAATCACTTGTCATTTTTAAAAAACTATTAAAGCTTCTAATTGCTACAATAAAAAAATTCAAAACATAAAAAAGGCACACCATAAATGATCAATTTCAGTTGGAGGTCTGTACTTGCTATAAAAATTGACAGTCTGAAGCTTTTAAGCAGAGTAGGAATCCTCACCACATTGCTTTCCTGTCTCTTCATTACAATTATTTCTTTTTCTCACCTAAAAAAACTCCCATTTGCATTATAGAATCCTTGTATGGTGCTGAAGGTGTTGTAGAAAATAAACTTTTTTAAAGGATCATGACATTGTTTGTGCTACTTTGGTTTATTTGACCCATTTCTATGCTAAAGACAGATTTTAAACAGAAATCTACCAGCTTATTAACAGCACTTTTCTCACTTTATGTGTGCAGTGTAACACAAATCTGTTTTAACACATCAAACTTATCACTATGCAGCTATTCGAAGAAACCTCATCATGATTTACTACCCATCAATATGAAATATCAATGGTATGATTTCATCTATGCAGTCTGTGCTTATTTCTGAGGAAAATACATGATTTCTAAGCAATTTATGAAAGGGACATACATATTTCAGGCACTGTTTTCTTACTATAATATCTTAAAATATCCACATTGTAGTTCAGTTTTACACCTTTTGAAAATTGTCCCCAAAACCTTTACAAATGTGTTTGTTCCATAAGTAGCCTGAGTCCACCTTGATTTCCATTATATTAGATCCACATTGTTTTCTGGGGTTTTGGGTTGGGAGGATGGGTTTGTTTTGGTTTGTTTTTTAAATCATATTAGGTACAATAATTTGAATAAAATAGGAAAAAGCTAATTTTGCTTGAGCAACCACAGTCTTGCAGAATACAATAATAATTTTTTGAAATGATTTGACTGCTGGAAATATTCTAAATTTTCAGTGAATACTTTCAGTCAGTTTCTGTTTAGAAATTTACCAGCAAATTTGTTTTCAAAAGAATAATTTTATGGATTGAAAAAGTAGTCATTTCTTTCAGTTCATGGAAATTTGTGGAGTTTTCCTTCATACCTAACAGCATGTAGAAACTTAGCCTAAGATGGTAACAGCATAGCAGCAAAGAAGCTAAATTGTTCATGTTAGCTGTATCAGAAAACTAGTGGGCCAGATCCTGAGTTGGAGATATGAAGGAAGAGATAACCAATGGCATCTGTACTTCAACTTAAAAATCGAATTTAAAAGTACTGCTAATTGAGATTTGACAAAGAATAATCCTGTTGAGTTGCCTACTGCTTTCACACATGTTCACTCCCAGGCTTTTTACAGCAAGTACCCTTTTTTAGTTATGGAAAGAACTGTCATTTTTATTATCAGTAATTTTAAACATGAAATACAGTAATATTTTTGTTTAGATAGTTTATGGCTATAATCAGTATCCACTGATCCTGGAACAATACTGTTAAACTCTGAGGATTGATTTATAATCCTGGAATTCTTCAGAAAAATAGTCAAAATGCCTTTATTATATTTATTTTCATATGTTTTTGATGAAAGTAGCTTCTGCATTTGAACTTTTAAAAATTGTTTTTAATGATTTAAAGTGGTGAAAAGCACTCATGTTCTTCCATGAATATTAATTTTGCAGTAGATGTCTAGATTCATCAAACAAGGAAAATATGAAACTGTAGGAGTGTTATAATCTAGATTGTTTTATGGCTGTGTACATTCAATAAGTAATAGCAATATAAACTTGTTTAATATAAGCTTATTCCATCAAAAGTAGAAGAGAGAGAATTTTTCTTTGAAATGAAAAATACCGGTGTAGTACATAGGTTAGAAATAGACAGTGATACCACTTTGAATAAGAGTCAAAACAGGATGCTGTGGGACTCAGTTTTGTGACGGGTGAATAGAAAAAAATTGTGTACAGCCATTAATTCTGTATAAATAAATCAGAACAAAATGGGGACCCATAATTTACACATACTGTGTGCTTGTTTTGTATTTGTAAACATACAACGCGTTAATTCAGAGTCACAGTACATTTCAGAGTCAGTAGTATTTGAGGAATGTTTAGTTAGAGTGTACTTGATGTATATTACTATTTTTGGTGGCGAAGAACTGGAAAGGAGTGGTTTCATTTTCAGCTGTGTGAATGGGGAAGATTTCAGATTTTTGTCACTGTAAATGTAGGAGTTTGCTTATTTGGCCTAGGGTCTTTTTCCTTCATGTACTCTTGTATATGTTGTTCTATTTGTTTCAGGTAATGTGAACTGATGAAGGTTCAGGGTGCTTTAAAAATCTTAACTTCTTACATAAGTTTCTAGGAGAGCTGGTTAGAGTCTTGTTTCTATCACTTGAAATGAATAAACATGATTTTTTAATATATTAAAAGAGACTGTAAATAATAGAAGCAAAATCAGAGCAGGCAGGAATAGCATCTGAACTAAATCCCAGTTCTTTAAAGATAATCGCTTCAGAAACAAGTGCTATTGAAGAATACGGTGCTACACTATATAAAAAGAGTTACGTGAGAGTTGGCTGCAGTAGCAGGGGACTGTATTTGGTGACCTAAGGGTTTAGCCTTCCTAAAACTAATCCATTTTTCTGTTGAAAACAATGCAAGGAGCACATCTGCTGTGCTTAATTGCTGATTTCTGTCACACACCATATAAGAAACAAAACCAGCTGTATTACTGTGGTAATGTAAGTGGAAATCTTACCCCATCCCAGGGAGATAAATTGGCATAAATAAATTTACTGCTCTGTTTCTCTACTGTTTAATTCCTTACTTCATGGGAATTCAACTTCAGTTGTATCAGGATCTTTGTGAAAGCACATATGATTTTTATTTTTACACTGGTAAATGGGGGAAGACTTTGGCATTTTATTCTCTCAGATAAGTTGAAAGAAATACTCAAGACAACATGCAAATGCATAAATTCAAGCACACAGCGTGAATTAAAGTAGCATCTCACAGTTTTCTCTGTGTATACTGGTTATATTTCTCATGTAAATTATTCCAACATTCGAAATTTTTAATTTTCCAATGTAGTACTCAGTTATCAAAGACTGCTACCTGTTAGGTACAGCTTTCTTAGTTTTATATGTTCAGTATAGAGTAATGTTTAGGATTTCCAATAAATAGTTTTGGCTTGAAAAGCCATTCTGGTTTAGATTAACTAGGAATTAATCTCTGACACTACAGATACCTTTGTTTAATAGAGATATAGATATATTTATTGAACTAATAAACAATGGAATATGGAAAAATTTAAGAACTTTTTTTCCTTCTGAAAGAAATATTAAAATAATGCAATTTGTCTTCTGGCTAAACTGCATGTGAGGTAACCTCACATTGTAAAAATGTAGGAATGTGAAGTTCATCAAATAATTGTCCTATGTTTTCTATGGTATTTTTCACTGCTATGTAAAAGTATGATATAACAGAACTAATAAAGTCTGTTCCATTGAAATTTGTAAATCAAGCAAAATAAACATACAGAAAACTGATTCAATGGGAAAAGTTACTAGTTGAGCTTTTCAACATGAATAATGTTAGATGCATTTATTTTTCTTTTTTTATGGCAATAGTCTATGACTTAATCTCGCTGGTGTAATACCTGTGGGCCACTGCACTCAAATAAATTTGAGATGAGACCTTTCCTGTGAAGGATAATCAGACATGCATTTTATTTGGGGATTTTGTTTGTTCATTTCAAGGTGTGAATGGCCCCTGCAAAGTGTAAAGGGCATTGTGTAAACACGCAGTCATTTTGTAACTGAAGTTCTTAAGCATAAATTAGACTGTCATACTGCAGTATGAAAATACTACCCCTTTGAACTCAATTTCAGAATTGAAATTCTTAGGTTTGTGATGTTTCTGATGGTTTTTAATTAATTTCTTTATTTTTAGGAGAAGTTACATCCAAGAAATCTTATCCCAGAGCTTTGCAGACTGTTTTATGGTTTAGGCTGGGTAACAGGAACTGGTGGAGGAATCAGCTTGAAACATGGGTAAGTACAGATGGAAGAGAAAGAATGTGATGGTTAGAGAGAGAGAGGAGGACTGTGTTTAGTAGTTGGTGAGGGCATTTCAGTTCCATGAAAAATGTTTGAAAGTCAAGAGTGAGCAAGAATGTAGAGGGGCAAATGAACAGTACGCCAAATTTAACCTTATAGAAGGGAGGTGGCTAGTCTGAATTAATCATTGCAGTCCCTTCAATGGAGAGAGCCAACTTCAGAGAGTGATTTTTTCCCGTCCTTTTCCTATCTTTGTTTAAGGTAAATGAATTGTCTTTAAGGAACAATGCATTCCCCCTTTTTCATTTCATTGACTATGGAATTTAGAGTGGGTTACACCAGGCACACAGCTTTCAAATGCCTGTGGTTAGATGAGATGAATCCCACCCTAGACATTTTACAGGCAAGACATTTCCTTTAAGAGGGAAATTACTGTTCTACTGAGATAATTTCTCAGGACATGTTCTTAACATATAATTGTAGCAGGACAGGTAACAGCAAAACAATTTTTGGTGTGTATCCACTACTAAGGAGCACCACTTTGCTTTTTAATTTGCTCATCTCCCCCTATTCATACTTTCCAAGCTCTTAATGGAGACAGAGCTCCTCTCAGTGGCCACTGAAAAAAGAGAAGTCCTCATTCTGCAAAACACCTTGCACAGTGCCTGCAATTCTGTGCCCAGGCACAGGGTGTTGTGACACTCTAACTTGAAAGTGTCTGACCTCTCATTTTTCTGACATACACTTGCATGCAGATACAAACAGCTATTGCTATTCAAATCTATGAGAGAGATACATATCTCTGAAGTAAAGGCTCTAAATGCTAATATTTGTGCTGTTCTAATGGCTTTGTGCAGGTCATTTCACTTCCTTGCTTGATTTTGCAAGCAAAGCAACAGCAATAATAATAATGAGAGGAATGATAAGAGGGTTAATTCTTGTTTTTAAAGTTCTTCGTCTATGGAAAGATCTTTCTAGCACTAATTTCTCATCAGTAGCTAAATGTTGCCTATTTTCTTCGTCATTTCAGCGCAATTCATGTTGGTTGTGGCAAGAGAAATGGTGTCAACAGAGAATACACTAATATAGTAGTACAGTTTTCTTCAGCAGTTCTATAACTTGGTTGCTCAGACTACACCGAAATACATATTTGAGTTTGTACCAATATTGTACATGGTCTAGGAATAGTAATCTATGTGGCTGTGCTGTTTTATACCTACAGTAACAGTAGCTATGTTTCAAAATTAATAGCTATGAGGCAGGGATCAAACTAGCTTAGAATTGTTACATAGGAAATAGTGAAAGAACAACTGAAATTTGATTGAAATTCTAACAACTGGTCTTACCAGCTAATCCTAATCAGCGTTACTCACTGTGCAGTTCGTATCAACTACTCAGAATAAAAATGCCAATTTGGACATGGGGTAGCATATTAAAAATGTATCTGGAATTCTCTGTCTGGTGTCCTGTATTTCAAAGGCTGTATTTCATCATCAGATTTTCCCTTTTTGATTAATTTCTAAAAAAGAAAAAAAATTGTTTTAAGAAAAAATGCATGTGTCTCATTAGTAACTGAATTACCACTTGATTTCCCCATATGTTGCACTGTCAATCATCTTGCTCATGCAAAGGAATTGACTAAGTTAATGCAATGTTGGCAGTGTTAATTCATGAATGTTAAAAATTACAAATATGATAAAGCCACATTTTGATGTGCTTCACAGCCGTTTTACCACTACATCATCTTAAGAGTTGTATTTTTGGAAGAGTTAGAATCAGAGAATTATTTAGGTTGGAAAAGACCCTTAAGATTATCAGGTCCAACCGTAAACCTACCACTGCCAAGTCCACCACTAAACCATGTCCCTAAGTGCCACATCTCCACGTCTTTTAAATACCTCCAGTGATGGTGATACAAACACTTCCCTGGGCAGCCTATTCCAATGTTTGACAACCCTTTCAGTGAAGCAATTTTCCCTAATATCCAATTTAAACCCCCTTGGCACAACCTGAGGCCATTTCCTCTCGTCCTATCACTTGCTACTTCGAAGAAGACACCAACACCCACCTCGCTACAACTTCCTTTCATAAGGTCTCCCGTCAGCCTCCTTTTCTCCAGACTAAATAACCCCAGTTCCCTCAGCTGCTTCTTATAAGACTTGTTCTCTAGATCCTTCACCAGCTTCGTTGCTCTTCTAAGTGCTCTTGTCCAGAAATATAAACATCTCATGGTCCTTAGGAAATGTTTCTGTAACTTGACTAATTATTCACTAGATGTCTCTGTGCTCCTGAATTTAGTACATTACTGTTGAAACTGAGTAGTGATTACAATAGAGAGAGATAATCTGATTTTTTTTTTGCTATTATTGAAAATATTGAAGATACCATCTTAAGATAATTTTAATCAATTTTTTATAGTCCTTGTTCATGAAAACCTTGCAAGAAGTGATGTGCTGCTACTTGAATTTCAGTCATCTAATTACATTGAATTAGTGTTATCTTTTTATCGATACAAATAAATATATAAATGCATTAAAAACCTAAACTATGCAGTTATAACAAAAAACAAAAGTATTTACATTGTAGAATACTAGAGATAATTAATATTGTTTATAGGTAGTCTGTGGATTTTTAAGTAATAGTTTTGTCACCTGTTTTGTCATAGATCAGTATGTGCTTGCAATTTCTCTTGTTCTATTTTTATTCTGAATTCTGGGGATTTGAGTTTGGAATTATTGCGGGGGAGGCTGTGTGCTTTTCTTTGTAGGAAAAATAAGGCTGCACTTCCTACATGTGTTTCAGATCTCTTGTCAAGTTGAAAGCACAGTTTTGTACCCCTGCAAGTTAGAGATTTCATATGCACTTGTATCGAAGGAGCAAGAAAGTTATTAAATTATGAGGGGCTAGATTTGCTATTTCCTTTTCAGTGGATGGAGAGCTCTAATACCTGTGCAGTTGAACAACCCTGTGTTTACTGATTTTCCCTGTCTGTAACTTTTCTTAGGAATGAAATCTACATCGCTCCTTCAGGAGTCCAAAAGGAAAGAATACAGGTACGTTGAACTGTATTTTTACCTCAGAGATCATCTTGAGATGGATGAAAGTACCTTTGTTTAGAGTTTCACTTTTCCTTATGTGAAGTTAGAAACTTGTTATACTATTGACTGCCTTATTGAAACAAGTGAGGATTTTGCCCAGTACTCTACTAGCACAGCAAGCCAACATGTATTTCAGTGGCCAGTGTAGGTTAGTCTTGATCTCTTTGCTTTAAATTAACACAGAAGACTCTGAGATTTGAACATGACTGAAGTCCAGCTTTATTCTTTGTCAAGCTTGAATGGCTTTATAGCTGGCTGGCTACAGTTTCAAGTTACTGTGGTACATAGGTAATTAAGCATTAACACCTCATCTCTATTTTCATTTGAGTGATTACAAATCTTTGTCTTGATATTCTCAGTAAATAGATGGGCTCTCCCTGTGAAAAGGTGACCTTGTCTATCTGTCTCCTTTCCAAAAAAACCCCAAAAGATAAGTGGAGGGGAGAATGGTAAATGATAACTATTATATGACAGCAGGAATTCCCCACAATAGAGTAATATGTGGAAAGGATTTGTTGTTTTATAGATCTGAGCGTAAATGCAAGGAATCTGTTCACTGATAGAAACTTGGGGTTTCGCAGCAGTGCTCGCTGGGGTTGTTAGCAAGTAAGGCAGGCAAAGGCATAGCTTGGCAAGACTGTGGTGGTCTGTTCTTTGCTAGCAGTAGCAGCGGATTGAGCACAGTGAGTAAAGAAATCTTTTGCAACTGAATTTCCTGCTGACTTGTAAAAGAAGATTAGAGAAGAAAGTTTTATTGCTGCCCTGGACAATTCTTTGTACTATTGTGAGTAGCTGATTGATGCAAACATTCATGTAAAGCTACTAAAAGCAAGGTTTAAAAAAATAGTTCTACAAGTTAAATATATTATACGTAGGTTTAATTCACATCCTTTGTTGGTTCTTTAAGGGGGGAAGGAAAAGTACATCTAAATTTCTTTTTTTGAATCAGTTACTACTTTTCCTTTTGATCTATTGTCTGTTATTTAGATACAGGCTGTCTCCTTTCTGAGAAAATTTTAGTTTTACAAATACCTGCTTGGCTGCAGTTTGAATGAAAAGAGTACCTAATATTAATTCACATTACACAATGTCAGTAAATAGTATTAGAAGCTAGAATAAATGCGGTGCGTTACAGCACTTTTACAAAGTTAAAATCACATTCTATATTAAATATATGGTGTATATGTTTGTCTCTCTAGAAGGAAAACAAAACTATTCAGGTCATCACAGGTCAAAATAATTTCTTCTTTCTTACAGCCAGAAGATATGTTTGTTTGTGACATGAACGAACAAGACGTCAGTGGTCCTCCACCGCACAAGAAATTAAAGAAAAGCCAGTGCACACCTCTTTTTATGAATGCCTACACTATGAGAGGTGCGTAGCAAATGTTTTTAGTTCAGCAATGACTGAAACACTGTATATGCACATCAACAAAATTGAAATTCAATACCATATTCATTATACATGGAAGTTACAGTGAAATAAACATGAAACTATAAAATAAATTGATTTGCAAAGGAATATGTACAATGGAAGGTAATCCTTGGTAACATCCTGTGAGTGTCTTTTACATTTTAATCTTCTCGTGCAGCTATACCTGTGATCATCTTCTCGGCACTAATTTTTAGTGCAGTACATTAGCAGGTTGTGGGAGGAGCTGGGGGATTTACAGCAGTTTTATACCAGTAGTTTTGCCTATTCAGCAACTATGTTTTAGATCCTTTTACAACCATTGGCTGTGATCAAATGTTCTAAATTACGGCTAGGTGAAAAAAGTATGAAACTTTTCTTTTGCAGGTGGACAGTAATAGAGAGTTTTTGCTGCTGTGTAAGATTTACATTTGTTACTTTAGAAAGGATTTAGGGAGTCTCTTCTGATCTTCCTGCACAAGAAGCTTGTATGTGTACCTGAGGAAAACTCATTTCATATTTTTGGCAACATTGAAACTTTATAAGTAAATTATAATTATTGTCTACCTATCTTTTCATTATGACACAGTAAGAACAATAAATATTTTTTCAGAGAATCAGTGGATAATTGAAGAAGAGTACTAGCATAAAAAGAAAGTAAAAGTCTTTAAACTTTCGTCTCACAAATAAGTTTGGGAATTCTTTAGAATCTCAAAACTCTGATAAAGTTAACAGTGTTGCAGTCATTGCAGTATGTAAAGAAATGTAGTGTTTCTCCTTGAATTTGTGCAAGTAGTTTCTCTCCTGGAATTTGTCACTAACTAAAAGTTAACACTTTTATCCTAAGACAATCCATAATTATCCTTTATAGATGAGTAATTATCTCATACCTTTATTTAGGTTGCTGTATATTTTTTTCTTTAATACAGTAGATCGCCATTTGCTAAGATGCCTAGCCAAAGGAAATGAATGAAGTATGTGAATGAATTTTTCTTAATAGACACATTTTAAAATTAATTCTAAAAATATATTTTTTTTCTTCTTTTTCTGTTCTTAGGGGCAGGCGCAGTAATCCATACTCATTCCAAGGCTGCTGTTATGGCTACCCTTCTTTACCCAGGGAGAGAGTTCAGTATTACCCATCAGGAGATGATAAAAGGAATCCAGAAGTGTACTTCAGGAGGCTATTACCGGTACTTCTCTATGTTTAAGAAAAGAAGCATGCTATTTGATCATTTGTTTCCAGCAATATAAATAGATGACAAGTCATTTGAGTTATGTGCACTAAAGTGTGTAACATAAAGTATTAGGAATAAGAAGTAAAAAGACCTCTGGAATAAATAAATCATTGGCTTTCCCTAAGAAAGGCTCAAGCCTTTGGAAGAGATCTGAGATAAAATCTTGTAATGTCAAGGCTACTGTGATCTGTTGATCTACAGAAACAAACCAAATAAAGAGCTATGTCCTGACAAATATCTCAAGAACAGAGATGTTAACACATCTATACAATGTTAAACTGAAACTGGAGCCAACCAACATGAGGTTGGATTGATAACATACAAAATACATTTGGGTGGACTTCACATATCACTGCCTGTGCTAGTTTAGGGCATGTTAAGAGAGTAGAGGATTTCAGATTTTACTTGACAGACTTTGAAAGAAAATTCAGAATAAACAGCTCATTAAAGATAATGTTATTACTTTCAAGGATGAGCTCTGAGGTAAGTGCTGAGTTATTCCAAATTATGTGTGATGGCTTGTTTTGAGGACTCCACCCACAGAGTGTTGAATTGGGATCCGCAAACAACATTTATATAATATGTGACAATTAGATGAAAAATTGAAATGCTAAATTCTTTCCACTTTTTGATATTAATTTTTGTAACTAACTATTGCCCTTTGGCAAGGGAGCAAGCCATATGTCTTGCGTGTGATTTTACGCCCGGGCGTATTTTATTCAGTTTTGGTTGACTTGCCAGGTTTACCTTCTTGTCAGCATTAGCATTTGTATTTTTAATGTGGCAAAAGACACCCCTTATATTGAATTGTCTAACAACACTGGTTTTTAAAAAATCCACAACAATCTTCTTTTTTGGATATGCATTTTGAATTCTCAAATGTTCCTAAATGTTAGTCAGGAGACATTGGGTTCCATATCTCTGAGTTGTCCTGTGTCTTCCTGTTAATTTACCAGAAAAACTAAAGAAATCAAAGCTCCAGATTACATGGTTCCTAAGTACATATTCGTCCATACTAGACGGATTCCACTGTCTTGCCTCACACAAGGCTCCCCATTGAATTCAAAAGAAATTTGATAGTACAGAATGGGATCTTTCAAGAAAGGGATTGACAACATATTGTTTCTAATTACATAAACCTTTTCTGGAAGCTATCCAGGAAAATGCTACAGATAGGATAATCAGAAGTATTTGTTGGCCTAAATATGATCCCAGTGATGCCAGAATAGTTTTACCTTTGACTTCAGTAGAAGCAGAACTAGATCCGTAGTAAATAGCTTTGAAAGTCTCAGACTGTCCCAGGGTATTTTATATGAAGGTTTGGCTAAATGTAGGCTGCTTATATTTCAATAAAACTAAAGAGAGATCAAGTATTTAACTCATTCAGAGTCTTCTTGGGGTTTTATAGATATTAGTTCTTGATAAAAAGCTTATGGTTGAAGTTTTTTAATCAAAAAACTGATTAGTGATGAATCAGTTATGGTATTTATACCTGCTTCCAAACTCACATCCAAGTAGAAAGCAGAACCTAGGAAACCAATGGTTTGGCTAAATGAATGCTGCTTATATTTCAATAAAACTAAAGAGAGATCAAGTATTTAACTCATTCAGAGTCTTCTTGGGGTTTTATAGATATTAGTTCTTGATAAAAAGCTTATGGTTGAAGTTTTTTAATCAAAAAACTGATTAGTGATGAATCAGTTATGGTATTTATACCTGCTTCCAAACTCACATCCAAGTAGAAAGCAGAACCTAGGAAACCAATCCCTTAGCTCATTTGTCCTCACTAGTAGCAAACACTCCAAATCTAATTTTAATGATCAGAATATGTAAGAGTCAAAGTAAACCTACAAAAAACACTTACTATTTTTATAGACTTCCTTGGGAAAGCATCAGCATTGAAAACTAAGGGATGACAAGCTGTATTATTTTTACCATTGCTTTCTCTCTGTGTTTTATAAAAGTAAGTACTACTAGCATCCACTCATGAAATATCTATGTGATCTCAATGATAAATCTGAACCTGAACTGGGGACTTATTAAAACTATTTAAACAAGTTTCTGCCAGTGTTAATTAAGGCTCAAACAATGCCAAATATCCCAGTCCTCCTTTAGAAGAAACTCTTAGGCAAGTTCCACTGAGTAACATGCATCATCTTGTCTTTGGAACTGGGGTTCTCAGGCTCTCTTAAGATCACATATAGCCCACCAATGACTCCATCACAGAGAATTTATTTTTCACGTGTTGACTCTACTTTCTATTTATATGCCTTAGCAGGACAATCTTATTTCCGGGGGCTTTTTGGACTACCTAAATTAATTTTTTTCTGCTCTCCAGCAAACAGCTTAATTTCCTTCTTCATGATGTGATTCTTTTAAATAATTTAATCTGAGATAAAGCTTGTAGGTGATGCCAATACAGGATGAAGAGAGTCTGAAAAAGTTGTAAAGGGACCCCACTACAAAGTGGTATGTGAACAAACAGCTACACCTAATACATTAAAGTGTTATTATTTTTTGTGCCTCAAGTGTAGCTCAGGTATTGCCAGCATAGCATACGTTTGGGAGTGAGAGATGTTCCTGAGAGTTCTTATGTTACAGCGTGACTCACAAGAGAAGAGCGTAGAATCACTAGTGTTGAGAATTTGTTAACATCTTTACACAGTCAAAGGAGAATCTCTTTCTTAGGGAAAAGCTTCATACGTCCAAACACAGCGTTTTTTTAAATACATGAACATTCATTTTTCTTTTAGATATGATGATACACTAGTGGTTCCCATTATTGAGAATACACCAGAAGAGAAGGATCTCAAGGAAAGAATGGCACACGCTGTGGAAAAATACCCAGACTCTTGTGCTGTATTGGTCAGACGTCACGGAGTTTACGTATGGGGAGAAACATGGGAAAAAGCCAAAACGATGTGAGTACAATTTAGATATCTTTTGCCATTATACCTCAAAATCTTAATGACCTTAATGTCATGTGTATTTCCAACCCATGGACAATGATTCAGAACGTTAAGTTCTGGCCTCACTGAATGTATAGGAAGCTTTTGGGAATGAGTTCATCCATGATTCCACCGCTTGGTTTTCCTTTCATATCAATGCTGGCTGATAGGGTTGCCAACATTTTCCTTTCATATGGACAAGTCCCTCCTCATATGAAACCTGCAGGCAATCTCTGCTTTTATATGACACCTGCCAATACTGTTTGTGTAGTCTTCCCTAGTCCCATTTTTGGAATTTACTTCTTCATTTGCTGATGGAAATGCAGCAAATCAGGATCATGTAGCAAAAATGCTGGGCACTTTCCATACCGCAGTAATGGAAATAAATGATAATAGAGCTGTCCAGTCAGGCCGTCGCATTGGTGATGTAAAGCTCAAGGAAGAAAACTATTAATTTTCATAAAACATGGTAGGACTTGAGCCTTACTTTACATTTCACCTTTTTTTCCTTTTAATTTTAGGTGTGAGTGTTATGATTACTTATTTGACATCGCAGTGCAGATGAAGCAGCATGGGCTAGATCCTTCAAAATATCCAGCAGGAGAAAACGGGATCTTGTAAATGACAACAACATTTATATTCAGGTGTGAATTTATCTGTAGAGATGATCTGTTTGGAGGGAGAGACTACAGATGACACCATCACTTCAGTCTGCTTCCCCACTCAGGAAACTTCAGTATTGCACATCTCCCCCACTCTGCTCCATTACCACTGCAATTGTATCTATGCCTGAAATAATGCTCCTTTACCACACAATGCAACTTGTATTAATGTAATGTAATGTATTAATAGTTAAGTATGTCCTGTGCACATTTTAGCACCTATGTACAGCATGGAGTGCAATTGCTTTTTAAAACTAATTTGTATCAAGCATTACCAGAAAAAGCCAACAGAGAAAAAAGACCCCAGCCTAGTAAGCTAATCTATGCAGAGATGCCTGAACACCCACTTTTGTTCTTCAGCTTGCAGAATCAGGTTTGATTTCAGTCTGTCTCAGTGGTATTAGTTATATGGTGGGTTGTTTTTTTTTCCCTTCAGCAGAAATGGCTGCTTGCAATTTGATTAAGTTTCATTGATTAGTCTTACCTGTTTACCTCACACAGCAAATTACCATGACTTTCTGTTTTCTAATGTAGCAATGATCAATGTTTTGAAAGTTTTCATAACAAGTATTTTAAAGTAAAAGCACATAGATAATATGATCAGGCAGTACTTTACATGAAGGATCCCTGAAGCAATTCTCACATAAGCAATATACAGCTTGGTATGGCAAAACACGGTGGTAGCACCGTCCCAGAGTCTGGGACACTTTTCTTCCTGAAAATCTAAGCAAGTTTAAAGATACCAGTACTGAGAATATAAAGGAGTTGCTAGGCCAAAGTGGTGGTCTAATTAAACAGGATAGGCTAACTTGTTGCACAGAGTTGGCCCAACAGATAGTCCTCTCCACCCACCACGTTTGCATCAGAAGAGATGACAAATGGCTGCTCAGGCAGGATGAGCCCAGAACAGACAGGTACTTGGATCATTAGCCTTTATGCCCACAGTAGAGGAGGAAGCAGTGGGACAGGAGGCTTGCTGTCAAGTGAGTCTCTGCGTGAACAGATAGTTGGAGTGCTGCCACTGCATACAGTGATGAAGACATGCTGGCTAACACACCTGCACAGAGCTACCTCATGGCCTGCAAGAACCATTCTAAAATTGCTCCTCAGCTCCTGCAGTTGAATAGGTTGGGCTAACGTAGTGGCATTAATATTCCTTTGCCTATTTCTTATGACTAAATACCTAGTTTTAGAATATTTTCACTTTTCTCTTGTTTCTCCTATACAGGTTTCTTACATGATGATGGGAGTTCCAGATTCCACCTCACACTGTTAAAACCAGAAGGGGGTGCTGTTATACTCGGCTGATTGACAGATGTCAGCAGTCAGTTTTGACTGTTAAACAAATCCAAGAAGAAAAGGAGACTTAAAAGAAAAATGCTGAACAATCATTACCATTTATGAATCCTGTCAAATGCTACAGTAGCAGGAATGAAAATTCAGATGCAAAAAAAGATTTTGAAAAAAGCTATGGAGAACTAATGTGACATTTTGTTTGCGTGCTTTAAAAATTCATATTTCAACAACCTGCATTTGTTGATCCTGCTCTACTGCTACATCATTTAACTTGTTCTAGGTCTCCATTTCTGAAAGTTATAGTAGTCTTTATTCTTGGGGGAAAAAAGTGAGGACAACCCCTTAATTAGAAGTTAGGTATAAAGTTTAAAGCATTGTTTGAACTGTTGATTCATTCATGCCGTGCTAATAGGATTTTTTTTAAATTAAGCCTGTAGCATATGTATTTTTAAATTCTCTTAATTGTCATTATAATGAGTGGGAAACACATAATTTTATAGCGTGCATTTAGAAGTTGTTACTGAGAGACTGCTCTGGGTCTTGTCTGTTCTTTACTTCTTTAAATTCATTCACTTTCAATAAGATTTTGTTTACTACAACTTTAAAATGGCTTTTTATGACCTATGATTAGCCAGCCTAAGGTAGATTTAATCAAACTGCTCATTAAAATACAGTCTCAAATATTTATGTATCTTAGTGTCTTCTTTCAAAATCTCCTGGAATGGCCCCCAGTGGCATCAGTCTAAGCCTTGATTGACCAACTTTCTGATTGAGTCTCTAGTCCCAAGGGTGAATTGTGACAGGGTAAGTGCCAATTGACCTTGTTTTCTGCTAGGGGCCATGCATTCCCACCACTTCCCCTTGCACCATCTCTGGCAGTTTTCTGAGCTTCTGTGAGGTGAATTAACTCTTCGACCTAAGAGAAAACAACTGCGGGAATTGGGGGGGGGGGGAAATTATTGTATTGTTTCCTAATAAGCCACTGGTAAAACATTGAATCAACTCAGAGGTGGGTCCAAAGAGAACCAGAGCTGGAGCAAAAGAGGAGATGGCTGAAGCTGGAGATGGAGACAACACTTCCCCCATTTCATGGGGATGACTATTCAGACTTACTCGGCTACTTGTGGACAGGCATTCACTGTGGATGTTCTGAAGAGTTCAGAAAGAACTGAAATCAGTGGAAAGTATTCTGCTAAACCAAGAAGACAGGAAGAAACTTCATAAATTTTCCCCCATTAATGAGCATTGACTTTTCTTTAGTTATGTATGTCAGACTACTGATTATAGCACAACATATGCTGTTGGTCTCTCTAGTTACTGGTAATTGCGTTGTGCTGAACTTCCACAAAAACCATCCTGCTTTGGCTTGGTGGGTATTCATGTCCCCATGTAACAGTCTGTCACTGGGCTCCGACAAAACTCATTTGCAGTAAGGCATCATGGTATAAACCAAGCGCCTGTTGGCCTGATCCAACCTGCTGGGTACCAGCTGCTTCTAAGCAAGTAAGATGTGGTCACCTGTGCCATGACAGCCTGGTGTAGCCACCAGAGTTGTTGCTGCTTTGCTGCCCGTTTGCCAGCAACCAGATCCCTCTTATCTCCACATGCTCGTAGCAGCTACAGCCTGCCTTTCTGTGCTGTGCAAGAGAGCATGTTCAGCATCTGCTGCTACCAGACCAACAGCAGCTGTCAAAGATGACATCAAGACCTCAACTGATGAATTTACCACTCCACAGGAATGATTCATTATAGAACGATCTGCCATCAGCAACTTGCTGAGTACTCATCTACCAAGATAACATACCCTCACTTCTCTGGGATGCTTCAAATTTTCTCAACAGGAAATACCTAAGCTTTGCTCTCAAATTTTCCTGTCCCTGTCAGTCAGATAGCAACTAAAGAGCTGTTAAAGGAATTGCCATATAGTTCAGATAGGCCTCTTTTTTTTCCCCCGATGATTGGGCTGCAAGACTCACCAGTGTCGATTATAGTGAATTTAATTGAACAAAATCTTTGCTATTCTATTCTTACATTAAAGGAATAACCATATTTTGTTCTTTTCTGGATTTCCTTACACATTTTAGGAACAAAAGAATAGCATCGACTGTTTTGTGGTTTATGCCATTGACTTTATTTCTGAACTCCAAATACTTGTGCTACCTGATTCTTAAAATTCGTAAAGAGTAGTGGTGCTATGCTGACAGACTGGCAGGTTTCATTAAGATCAGTGTCTTGTGACCATTAGGCACATTTGTCCTTCTCTACTGTACGTGCTGTACCTGCAGTATGCAACCTTTAAACCTTAGGCAGAGGGTGACCTTAATTATTGTGAAATAGTGGTTATCGCTAAGTTACTGCAGGTTTTTAACTATATGTTTATTGATACATTTTTTCATTATTAGACACTTGTTTGTCAGTGGCAAATATTTTGCAGTGACTTGTGAGTGTATGTGGATTGCAGTAAGAACTTGAGTGAAGAATGTTATTTTTTAGATCAGAGAGTGACTTTGGACAGGCCGCATACTCCTCTGCTCCACTTAAGCACAAAACACATCTCTAAGTATTTTCAAGACTTCAGAAGTGCAACTGACATGAAGGGAATGCAGATAGTATATCCCTTAGCTTTTCTTCCCTGTGGGCATGCTAATGAAAATACTTCTTGATGTGACAATCCACTTAGTCTTGAAATGTAGTTGCCATCTATTGATTGTGACCTTTAATTTTTTATTTAAACTGCTAGATTTCTGCAAAAAGTAAATTCCTGTGGTATTCTGATGATGCTGTCAGAATAGGACATAATTGTATCATTCCATAATACTGATGTTTTGTAAGGATAAAGATGATTTTACACTTGGTGTTGTTTTGTTCTGCATGTATAATGACAAACTACAAAAGAAGACTCACAAGGAAAGGTATTTTTTGCCAAATATATTCCTCTGGGGTCATGTTAATTACAAATATTCACTTCCTCATCCAGCTACAATTTGCCACTCTGCAGCCTTTCTAAAATCTGCATGAAATATCAAATTTCTATAGTTGTAGTCAAGTTCTTTCATATAGGATTCCGAGATGCTGGTAGTCCCATTCAGTGGTATGGAAATGAGCTAAATACGCTCTTCTCACATCTGTGTGTGAACTTTCAACAAAGAAATCAATTACTTCACAGCTTTAATGGCTTCATAAACTTGTGAAATGATTACTGTTTCCCAAAGTGTTCAGAAAGCTCTTACAGTTCAGCTCCAATTATGTAGAACAAAAATATGCAAATTTCCTATATGATTTAAAGCTTCTAAACTCCCATAATTTTTAAGTTTAGATCATTTTCTGATGTGAATTGTAGGCTAATAAGCCAGCTAGATATTTTTATACATTTGCAGCAAAGACTAGATCTCCATCAAAGTCGATTATCTAGGTTTAGTATCACCAGATAGGCTTATGTAAAAATGACATAATTCCCATTTCAAGTGGGTCATCCAAAATACTAATTAAGTTCCAGTATTTCCCAGTAAAAGTAATTTCCTAGCAAACATCCTACTTGCTTTCCAAGAAGGAAATAAAACTGCAGAATACAGCATCTTGAAACATTGAGATACAGCTCTAACTTACAGTAAACAGTTACGATGCCAATATAGGTCCTCTAGTGAATGCTGTAATGCCTGAACAACTGGCATCCTATTTCCTTTAACTCTGAAATCATTATTGAAAAATTAACATCTAAAAAAGCCCCCTGACTAGTGGAACAATATAAATAAACCAGTAGCCTTCCTTTAAATTCTTTTTTTGCCAGACTTTTTGGCAAATATGTCTGTAACAATTTTTTGCCATTTTACAGAATATGGCAAATTGGCAAAAAAACCCTGGAGCACTTTAGATGGCTTACTTCTGTATCAAGGACCAGAAGAAAATATATAGTTTGATATTAATGCTTCTTAATTTCAAAATTGTTAAAAAAACTCTGAGTTGATACAAGTTAAGGTATCCCTACTACAGGGAGTTATCATTCATGTACTCTACAGATTCATAAGCAATAAAGAAATTAGGAGGATGCTTCATTTTTGAAGCCACTTTGGAATTGCAGTTCCCTTTTGTTATAAGGGGAGGTGAACCCTTGCAGGCTTTGTTTTTGTTTTCTTTCCCTACATGTAAGGTGAAATAACAGTTGTGCCTTACAGACCCAGGTTGTGTCCTGAGCTGAGGTAGACTTTTGTAACAGAGAATATAGAGGTGCCTGTGACTGCGCTTTGCTACCAGCTAATCAAAGCTTTCATAGAAGTCAGCGAATCTGTATGTTTGCTTTAAGTCAGCTTAATGTTAAAAGCTTAATATTACTCCAGAAGAATGCTACCTGACATGGTTTTTAAAAGAGCAAATTTCTAAGTCCCTGAGTCTGAAAAAGAGCTCTCAAGCATTTATCCTAGTACTACCCAAGGGTTCACTACACAAATCAGATGGTAAATAAAATCTCACTATTTTTTGGTTGACTGCTTTTGATGTTTTGCTAAATTTGAATGCTAGTGGTTCAGCATATTGAGTGCACCATTGCAAAATTATTTTGGAGATGAAACTTCTAGTGGAACCACAACAGTTGGCTATTTCTTAAGATTTTAATCTATTGAAAACAAAATCAATTCCAAATAGTAATTTTTTTTTTTCTATATGTCTTCAGGCTTAATCTAGCCTCTGCTAGGTTTTGCTAGAGCAGTCAGAAAAAACTACTGACTGGCTAGTGCTCAATACCAAAAATGGACTGAGCATGTTTGACTAGATGGGATTTAATGAGGAATCATTTGCAAACACCCACTCTCTCTGTACTTACATATGTGTGTTGGGTTTTTTTACTCTGAGACACTGTGCTATTGTACTAGCAAGTTTCTCCCATCTATGACAGATAAAATTACAGAGTTTAATCTCCAGAAACCAGATCAACAAGAATTTATTTAAATAGTTAAGCATAAATTCTCGCTCCTTAATGAGCCTCAGATTAGCTCCGATTTCTCTAATGGTAATTTCTGGTAATTACAAACAGAATACACTGGATACAGAAGAAAGAATAGGTCTTACATTTAAAGCAAAGAGCTGGAAGTCTAGATTTTGTGGCTGATTCAAGTGTTACCTTAAGGTCATGCCTTGAACAGTTCACTTTAATGGGAGTTTCAAAAGAGCTTGAATGAATCATACTACCCTAAATCCCATTGGAAAGTTACGTGCTTAATTTCATTAGGCTCCTCTGTAACTCCGAGGATTTAGCTGTCTGCGTTTCAATCAGGGGGGGTAACAAAGAAAAGGGGGGTGAGGGGCACCTCAAGTACTAGCTGCCAACTTATCACTAGTGTATCCCAGATTGACATCAAATGCTTAGCTGGTATTTTTTTCCTAAAAGAAAAGATGACCTCTTAAACTAGAAACCCTCAGTTTAAGAAAAAGGTTACCTAAGATAATTTCACCTAGCAGAGATTTACAAAAACAAGAAATCAAGAACTGAGCTTTCCTGCTTACTTAGAGATATACATTACATATGTGGTACATACTACCACAAGTAACACAACACAATTTTTGTGATTTCAGTTCCGCTCCTCCCAAAGGATACCAGCCGTCTATCTTTCCAGATGAAATGTCTGATTCCCATTCTTAAGGTCCTGTTCTCCAGTCAAAGCAGGTTACCCTCATGGTCCCCATTTTGGTG